TTGAATATTAGCTCTGTTACTTACCAGAGCTAATACTGGACAAGTATCTTGGACAAGTTACTTAAATTTTCTAATCCTGTATTTCCTCATCTATTCTGTGGCCATAATATTTTACCTCATAGGGTTGTTTAAGTATTGGTTTAGATAACATGTAGTAAGCACTTAATAAATATTTGCCATTTATTATTGTAATTATTATCATTTTTAGGATCTAATAAGATACAGTGTTTTAAAAATAGTTATTAGTTTGTTATATACAAAAGGATGAGGAAAGGAATAATCAATTGGTTAATTAAAATCAGGTAGAAGAATCTTACATTTATTTCTTTAGAACATTAAAATTATACTTATTATAAGCTACTGTAATAGCTTACTATGTTTACACAATAGTCAAGTTAGTATCAAACTAATTAGTGAATTTGGTATCACCCAAAAAGAGGCTGAAAAGAAATCAAAGTGATCTGATTAAATTTTTTAGTTCAACCAGCTGTGTTTGCTGAAAATATGCCTAGCAAGTGATACGTGGAAGTAAGGGTACTGTGGAGAGCACAGATTTTCTTCTTCTTTTTCTTTTTTTTTGTGATTGAACTACATTCTCACCGTCCAAGCTGGAAGGAGTTTCCTTTCGTCTTACCATATCTCTAGAGGACATTTTATAAATAAATTTTTTAGGGAAGATTTTTGGATACTGGTTTATATTTTCCAGATGCTGCATTTATAGACTCAAAAACTCACTCTTGATCTTATCCCTTACTCTTTTGTGGTTAGAATAATCTGGGAAGCTATAAAATAAAGGAGGAAACTGGGAACACCTGCAAGTTTATTAATGCTGTATCAGAAAGAATCATTCAGTTCAGTTTTTTTTTTCAAACCAAGCAGGCTAACAGAGTATTTAAAGGTTAAAGGATATAAGTGACATTTAATACCCTACCTATAACTTTAATCAACATTAAATTTTTACAGGCCCCAGATTTCTCTTTTCTCTCTTTCTGTATTTTTCAGTTTTTTTTTTTTTTTTTTTTTTGTAATGCAGACACTTTGGGGTTTTCTCCATATGATCCATGCACATGAATCTATAGAAGTATTCAAATACTATCAAAGGGATTCAACTGTGGAATTTTAAATGGAATCCCCTTCTTCAAATAATAAAGCAGTTTAATGTGCATTACATCTGCAAACTAAAGTGCTGTTTTGGTTTGTTCTATCATTAAAAATTTTCCTGTATATTGGAGGATGAGGAGGTCACAGGCAGTAAGAACACTTGAAGATGGTGGAAAGGGAGAGGTGGAACAAAAGATAAGAGCTATTGTGTTTGAACTTAACCAGAGAAACTGTTTCTAGGACTCCAGTCTGTGTTTCATGCCATTTTCCTCAACTTTACCTTCCCTTATTCCTTTTAAACTTGGCCTTTCTTACTCCTTTCCTCATCTCCACTGAGACTCTGTTATATAAAACCAGTTATAGAAGAAAGTATAAATAAGAAACAAAGTAACATTTAGTGAAAATCCACAGATGGTTTTATGTATTGGATTTTTTTAAATGAATGGGTTCTATACAGTTTTAAAAATGTAAATAGTCAAAGCATGGTAATCCACAAGGAAATAAAATAAGTGCAATAAATAGATCCTCCACATAATGGTCTGTTTATGTCTCGATGTACTCAGTTATAGTTTCTCTTAATTTCTTATTCAAAGAAATACTAATAAAAGTAAAATAAATATAGTATGTGTGATTTGGGTGGAAAAAAGGCATTCAACTTTTTTTCCTTATCTGTTCAGGGCAGGTCAGCTTTGTATGCTTAGATAGTCTCTGGAATTCTATGTACTTGGAGTTGTCCATGCTTGTGGCTCTGCCCAATAAAGGACTGTTGGTTGACTTGCTACTGGTATGTAAATGTGGAGATGGAAGTTCATCCAATTTACTGAACTAATCAAGAACCAAACCATTGGTCTTAGTAGAGGGTTTGGCGTTTCCTAGGAGCTCCTGAAAGTAATTAGGTTGGGCGTTTTTGATAGAAACACTGATGTAATGAGTAAGTCCGAAATGTTTGCTTAAGCTCTGAAAGAGGAAGTTGTGAAGAAAAATATTAGCCATATTTTGAGAGCAATGGTTCTCAAACTTGGCTGCACACTGTAATCACTTAGAAAAATTTTAAAACAATTGTTGCCCGGGTTGCACCCCAGAGTTTCTGGCTTTATTGGCACAGGCTGCAGCCTGGGAATTAGATTTTTTAAAGCACCTCAGGTGATTCTAATGTGCAATCAAAGGGGCAAACCAGTGACGTATGTAACAGGGCAGCAAGTCTGCAGCACAGCTGGAGAGAGGGTTCTATAAGCCCTTGTGGTCTGAAGACCAGTACCATCTGCATCCCCTAGGAGCTTATAGAAATGCAGATCTCAGGCCTATCTCAGACTAATGGAATAAGAATATTTATTGTCACAAGCCCCCTGAATGGTTCCTATTCACATTCAAGTTTCAGAAGCATAAGACACCTGGGCCCTGAGGAATACCTGAATGGCTGGGTTAATGCTGTAAATAAAGGTACCTTTCTAGCCCTGATCCCACTTAACCAACCAGGTGTCAGTCTTAATTTAGTTTTACTAGCATGCCTCCCTGACAGAAAGAGATATTTCCTTATTACCATGCATTAAGACGGATTGCAGATGTAAGCCAGACTTCTACAAGTCTAAAAGAATTTTCTAGAAGGCTCGCTCCATTATAGTTCCCATCAATAGTGGTTCTCAACTCCAGCTGTATATTTAGAACTACCTGGAGAGCTTCTTATTATACTGGCCACACATCAGACTTACTGAACTAGAATTTTGAGGATGGAGCCCCAACACTGGTAGGCTTTTGAAGCTCTCCAGGTGATTTTAGTGTGCAGCTAGCTTGAGAACCACTACGGATGAACTCTAAGTTTACTGACTCCTATATCCCACTATCCAATTCCACTGCCGTCAAGTCTATTCCGACTCATAGCCACCCTACAGGATAGAGAACTGCCCCATAGGGTTTCCAAGGTTGTAAATCTAAGTGGCAATCTGCTTCCCTACTTTCTCCCATGAAGTGGCTGGTGGGTTCGAACTGCTGACCTTTTGGTTAGCAGCCGAACACCTTAACCACTGCACCACCAGGGCTCCGTGACTTCTATATATCCCAACCTAATTTAACCCAAATACAGTGGGGTCAGTCTTTCGGCTTCCTTGAAGACTGATACCAATTACTCTAATTAATAATGTATCATCTTCATCATTAACAGCAATTAAATATTTAGAGCATGGTAAGTTGGTATTCATTTCAGCTCATCCCTATTTCATAGTTAACATGTGGTTATCTACATTAATAAGGAAAATAATCACAAGCATTTAAAATAGTAATATCCAAATTAAATAGTATGAAATAACACATTCTATGAAATAAAGCATTTCATTGCATAGCGCTTTTTGTCTCATCATATATTTAGAGAAATATAAAAATTAGCTTGTTCTCCCAAGGTGTATGCCAGCCAAATGGTGCAAAGAGACATTTATAGGGTGTTACCTGGCAAGAAGAATCAGCTGTCATTAAAAATCCATGAAGTAAATATAGTCCAATTCAGTTTTCTGAGTAAGGGGCCAAGCTTACATTTCAGGTGAAATGATGCATGTAGATTGCATATTAATTTTCAAACATGAGTTGAAAATGACTAGGAAAGCAGATAGGTAAGTGGAGCAGTTGAGCATATACAACCTAGCTGAAGAAAATCTCATGTGCCTTAAGTAAAATGAACAGGCTGAACTCCAAATCACTGCTGAAGAATTTTAAAGTAAACTCCAGGATGTATAAAAGATTGAATGATATGCAGCTAACACTTTCCCTCAAATAAACATTTTTTTTTATTTCCATCTTGGAAATAAGAGCTTAAAGCACAGAAATCCATTGCAAATTGAATTTAGTTATTCCTAAGTAAGTCGCCTGCTTGGTTTCTTAGATTTTCCATCTACGAAAAATAAAAATTGTCCTGGAAGTGAGAGTTGCAAAGCTTATTTGTGTAAGCCATTATTAATGTATTGTTCATAATGAGATTTTTCAAGTCGAAAGATAAATATAAATGTTATCAAATTATACAGCTTTTGGAATTCCTATGCTGCCCTGATTAGGAAGAGCTCTATCTACATTGCTGGGAGATTTCTTTAAAGCTGACTTTCTATGATGGACAGGTCTTTTAATACTTGTGACTTAAATTCTTAATTTATCTCATTATGTAATATCAACACAACATTCAAGAGACCTCAGGCTACTAATGATCTTTAAAAAAAAAGAAAAAACTTTCTTCTTTTCTATTAGGCTTAGAGTCATCCTAAGACCAAATCTTTAAATTAAATGAGAATCTTTAATGACCTAGGAAGAAAATCTATAATTGTGAATTATAGCTAAATATAAAAGCATTATACATTTATGATTAAATGCTTAATATATGATGAACTATTTACTTGAGAACAATCCCATTATGTGTATATTATAAACTTTTCTCATAAATCTATTACTGAAATACTGCCAATTTATCATTTGCAAATCTTTAAAGCAAATCACATAGAAAAATAACAATGGTGTTGGACAGGATTTGGAGAATGTAACAATCAGTTTAAATAGGTAGCTGTTTTTATGCATTGAGTAGAACTGTCTCTGCTTCCATTTACTTTAAATGTGATGTCAAGAACGTATCATTAAACACTTAAGAGACAAAATTATGAGCCATATGGAGGATGGAGAAAATTACTCAGGGTCTGCACTGATTCCAGACTTTTTTAGCAACTACCTACATGATGTCAGGTCAAATACTTCACTTTTGTGGGTAGTTGCCCCATCTTCAAAATGTGGAGGATTGGCTAGACTACTTTGAGATCACTTTCAATTCTCAAAATATTCCATGATTTTAAATTCTGGTTCAGTAATGATATAGTGTGAATAGTAAACAGAATAACATATTTCAATTTTGGATTTTTTTCAAGAATACTTACAGTTAAGGCTGGTGGTCCTGGAGGTCCCATATCTCCCTACAATAGATGAAAGAAAAGTTGCAATTACAATAGTATCTTTTTATATTACCTTTTTATTTATTTATAAATTTTATGAATGGGTCAATGCAATATTTATAGATAAAACTTGAAGGAAAAGAAAACAGAATTTCATCTTGATAAAAGCCTCTGCACAATGAAAAATTTATATGTGTCCTTTTGCTCTCAGGATTAAAAAAATCACCTTGCGTACTTCCATGATTTTTGCAGCAGAAGAACTTGTTTTGGAAAACTAAAATAATCAAATTTTCTATTCTTTTGTCTACTAATCCAAAATTAGAAGGAATATATTTTCAAATCTGGTTACTTGCCAATGGAGCAGCTGGGAAGTGTCACAGCAACAGATAATTTTCTGACAAAGTATGGGGATCAGCAGAAATAATAAGTGGATTTCCCCACTTTATGCCTCCCAGCTGCAAGTAGCAGTACCATTGCCTCCTCTAAAGCTCTGCTGAATAGGCATTGCACTTGGCATCAGTTGTAAGAGGCTTTGCCTATATTTATGCATTTTTAAGCACTAAAATTGCTTTGCTGACCTACGTGAATACAAATTAGCAGGTGGACATATTGATAATTAAACTATTCAAAATATTTGAAAAATAGTTCATACCTAAATGTTCATTATTTTCTGATTTATATGGCACCTGTATGCATTGTTATCTCAAGGACTCTCATGAGAAATCGCAGTCATTAGACTATGCATCACTGGTACAGTTCTTGTTTTGACTGACATTATGGAAACGGTATTTGTGGAATGGTGCATCGGGATGTTGTATTCTTGGGCTGAGAGTATCTTTATGACTTCGTCTTTTCTCATCTAGGATGGTCATCACAAAAGTTAACACTTAAAATTGTGTAATCATTACTTTTTGGAACGATTGAATAAAAATAACCAATAGCTGTTAACGAATACAGACATTACTTAAATCAGTCACTGGATACTGATTTGCAAGATCACATTTAATGTAGAGGTAAATATTGAACACTGACAAGGATGACTTAATATGCTGAGAATGTAGAACAAAATACAGTGCAGATCACACTCTCCCACAATTCTCATCAAATTGGGATCATCTAATGACTTCATTCAAAGCAACTGGTTTTTGCTTTTTCTTACTTCTCCTTTCAAAGCCAATGCTAACATACCTTTATGAAATAACAAATTAAAAGTGGAGGTAAATGGAGCACTTAGACTCAAAGTGAGATACAAAGTTAGCCTCCTTCCCCCAAAGAGCTACATGCTTCACTCTTATGGTAGCACTTGCTAATTCAGTGATGGCATACATAATGCTGTTAAGCAAGGGAAACCTTATAAACATGAATTAATGTCAAATAACAATTGTGCATTTCATTTCGTCAAACTAATTAAACGCGCCAAAAGGCTTTTCTTGCAAAGATGCTCTTAACATAACAGCCTTTGGTTAATTTTAAAATGCCTTTGGCAGTTAAACCTTATCTGCATAGGTTCGATGGGATTTTCTTAAGAAAATGTTGGCACTTTGCTGGGTAAATACTATACCTTTTCTCCTTTTGGGCCAGGTGGACCACGAGGACCCAAGTCACCTTTCAAACCCTGTGCAAAGAATACAACCAATGTGATTTCTCTATACAGTTCACAGAAAGCTTTGTTTTCAAACAAGTCATTAGTAATGAAATAAATCATAATTTACTGAACTCCCAAATCCCATTCTTCAGTTTATTGTATGGAGAGAAATAGAGACAAATGGAACTAAAATGATAAGCAACATCTGTGCTGTGGTGGGTACAGAAACATTAAGTCAGCACCAGTCCTCCATACTGCATATTTGTGCAACTTTGCTTCCTGCTAAAATTACATTAATTCACCATCTGGGAGAACATCATTTAGATCTATATGAGCTTTTAAGTATCCACTTTGGATTAAATTTGTGGATGATGTAAATACCTCCGATTTAGCATTGATTTGGCCTTTATAAGGCTTGCCAAAAAAGAATTCAAGAGTTAAATCAAAAACATTTTCATGTCTCTATCAAGAAATCAAATTGTAGAGGAAAAAAAGGATTGAAGGATGCATTTTTTTTTTCTAATCACTCACAAAGCCGTTATAGAATGTAATCACTTTCCTGTTTTAAAGTATGTTTTAGCTCAGTCATGCCTCTAATTCCTATCTTGTTTACCTGGAGGTATAAAGATAGCAAATACAACGATATATAACATTGACAGCATATCAGATAAATATTTTCATAAAAATTTCTGGATTCTTGGGTGTTTTAATGGGTATTTAGTTGATCTGATTCACAAATGACAGCTTTCGGAATAGCACAATAGATTTCAGTGGAGGATCAGTTCTACGGCTGAAGGTATTCACAGTATAAACAGAAAGAAAGTTAGGTAGACACATCCTGACTGTTTGGTAAGTATGGAAAAAAAATCTTCCTTTGTCCTAACACATTGATGAGGGAAGAACAATAATGGATAAAAGAAATATTCTGAAACCACATAATGCACAGTAAATTTAGGTACTTTATTGTTCCTAGCTGAGGGATCCAGCTATTACGGCCCTGACATTTCCTAAGGAATAAATGCCAAATGCCATAATCTGTAGCCTGTCTATACAGAAGTCAATGATGAACTGAAAGAAACAAAAGAAAACTGGCTACTTAAAATATTCTTGCTTCAGAGTATGTGAAACTGTAATCTTATCCTTTAAGAAAAAGAAAATTAATGAATGAAAACAGCATCTAATCGGCCAAAGAAATTTGTAGTTGCATAAATAGCTTCTTGGGTAAAACACATAGCTATGTCTTTTCCATCATTACTCTTGAATATTTATATAAAAAGGATGAGTGAAAAACTAAATCATATGTGAGATATGGGATTCTCTTATTTGAAATATCCATTCCTCCCCAAGCCAAGCAACATGTACTCTATTTACACATGCCTCCAGGATAAAACTTGGCAATGAAACTTGAGAAACAAGTCTGTGCCATTTCTGTGAATAGATCTTATTATTAATTCACTCATTCATTCTTTCACTCGTTTAATAAACATTTACTGTATATTTTTTGTGCTAAGCACTCTTCCAGGCCTCAGATCTACCCTGTCCAATACAGCAGCCATGAGTGACATGTAGCTTTTGAGCACTAAAGATGTGCCTAGTCTAATAGAAATGTGCTGTGAGTGTAAAATATGCATTTGATTTCTGAGATTGAGTACCAAAAAGAATGTAAAATATCTCATTGATAATCTTTGTATTGATAATATGTTGAAACGAGAATATTTTGGATATATTGGACTAAACAGAATATGTTAAAATTAACCTCACCTGTTTCCTTTTGCTTTTCTTATCATGGCTACTAGAAAATTTAATATATTTACATTTGTCTTGCATTTGCGGCTTTCATTATATTTTTACTGGATAGTGCTGCTTTATTGTTGTTGTTAGTTACTGTCTACTCAATTCTGACTCATTGCAACATCACGTGTGCAGAGTAGAACTGCTCCATAGGGTTTTCAAGGCTGTAACCTTTTAGAAGCAGGTTGCCAGGCCTGTCTCCTAGGTGGACTTGAACCACCAAGCTTTCGGCTAATAGTCTGCTTTGTTGTTGTTGTTAGGTGCTGTTTAGTCAATTTCCACTCATAGTGACCACAGGTGACAGAGTAGAATTGCCCCATAGGGTTTTTTACGCTGTAATCTTTACAGGAGTAGATTGCCAAGTCTTTCTCTCATGGAGCTGCTGGGTGGGTTCGAACTGCCAACCTTTCAGTTAGCAATCAAGCTCTTAACCATCGCACCACCAGAATTCCTTAGAGATACAAAAAAGAATGAGAAGTTAAGGTTCCTGCCCTCATGGAACTCTTGCTTTTAGAGGAAGATGACTGACAATAAAAGGCTGAATGTGGTAAGAGTGAGGGGGGAGAGAGTGGCTATTTCAGTTGGTCAGAAAGGGCTTCTGTGTGCTGATATTTGACGTCTCAGAAGGATCCAGCCACGCAATGAGCCTGGGAAAAAGTGTAGGGGTAGAGGGAAAAGCTAGGACAAAGACCCAAGGTGAAAGGAGTATTATGAACAAGTACAAAAGAAGTATGAGATTAAGTCACAGGTTAGCGGGCCCACAGCATGTAGAGAATTACAGGTTATGTAATTCTGTGTTTTATTCTAAATGCAATGGAAAGCTACTTGGTGTTTTAAGCAAGGATATAATTAACATAATTTAACTTACGTTTACATAAAAAAAAAAACACTTTGGCTACAATGTAGAGCATTCTAAGCAAGAGTGCAGGATGGCTGGGACAGGGTGGTGACAGTAGAGATGAAAAGTGGCCAGAGTTGGTACATACTGGGAGTCAGACCTCTTAGGACTTGTAGATATGCTAAAAGTGGGGACAGGGAAAAGGAAGTATCAAGGCTGACTCGTGCTTGGCTTAAGTAACAGAGTGAGAGCTGGTGCCATTTACTGAGCCAAGAAATTTAATATAAAGAGGTTTTCTCTCTCCTTGCTGTATAAACTATCCAGAGAAAAGACAACAAATAAGAACAAAGAAATGGCTGAGAAAGACACTAAGTATCCACTTATTCAATAAATGTAATATATATTTTTAATTTTATGTGCTTTAAGTGAAAGGAGCCCTGGTGGTGCAGTGGTTAAGCATTCGGCTGCTAACCAAGAGGTCAGCAGTTTGAATCCACTAGCTGCTCCTTGGAAACCCCATGGGGCAGTTCTACTCCATCCTATAGGGTTGCTATGAGTCAGAATCAACTCAACGACAATGGGTTTTTTAGGTGGAAGTTTATAGCTCAAGTTAATTTCTCATCCAAAAATTTATACACATACTGTTTTGTGACATTGGTTGTAATCCCCACAATGTGATAGCATGCTCCCCCTTTCCACCCCAGGTTCCCTGTGTCCATTCATCCATATCCTGTCCCTTCCTGCCCTCTCGTCTTGCTTTTGGACAGGAGTTGCCCATTTGGTCTCATACATTTGATTGAACTAAGAAGCACGTTCCTCATGTGTGTTATTTTTTGTTTTCTAGGCATGTCTAATATTTGTCTGAAAAGTGGGCTTTGGGAAAGCTTTCAGTTCTGAGTCAGCAGAGTGTCCAGGGACAACATGCATGGTTCTGGGTATGTTGGTGTTTCAGTTATTTCTATGGTTCATAACCATTACATATGTTATGAATATTCTTTTGTAGACATAAATTAATACGTTTTAAAAGTTAAAAAATTCTTGCTTGACAAATTAACCCTAATTACAACTGCAAGGGAAGGGGCTTATTGGCAGGTGAGTCAGCTAACTATCCTTGGTTCAATCAGTTGTGGCCAGAAAGAGAGTGGAAGATAACGCAATTACAAATCAACATGAATAGTGAGGACTATCACAGAACTATATCCCAGGTATGAAGGGTACAGTCCCCATGAATGTCGAATGCTGCTGGAATGCTCAAGACTTCAGAGATGTAGAGTTCCAATAAGTCAGGAAAGGAATGGCATTTTATGCATAATCTTGGGTCAGTTCCTTAAGCTTCCCTATAAAATAGGTATAAGTAATAGTTATCTTGAAGGGTTGTTCTGAGACTCTTATGCGCTGTAAAAACACTTAGCACATGGTACACACTCAATAAATGTTGCTTTTACTTTTCAAGTCCAAGTTTAAGGGATGATGAACAGTTCTTTCTGTACAGTTTTGTATTCAGTTTGACAGATATGTAACAACTGTGCTTGAATTCATATAGGATAAAACGCAACTGATAAACTGCATTCATTAAGCTTCTACTTTTACGTCCGTCCAAGTGGGCCTGTGTAACTCATGTCCTCGTGTGACAAGCACAATGTTAAGGCCATGGCATTGTAAGAGGCTCTGAGAAGCAGATTAGTAATGCCTTTCGCAAGTGCAATTTTTCTCTTCGTGTCACATTGGTGCTATCAATGGTTATCGAGTGCTGGGAATAAAAAGACACAGTACTCACCATACAGCATAAAGAACCAAATGGAAAAGACCCTGAGTTCAATACTGAATAAGATGAGCATCTATTATCAAGGTTCTCAATAAAACTCATGTATATAAAGATTCTCAAAAGCATAGTAGTTGACTCTACGTGCTATACAGAGAAAGAAACTATTATCTAAAAGCAATATGAAAGCTAAAGGATGATACTACCACTAGACTAAAAGCAGGTAGACTATGAAATTAATTTTTATTTGAAGACCTACTACTCATGGTATGTAGCATCTTAAAAAATCAGAAGATGATACAAAATAATGTAAGTTATTTGTTAAACATTTTAACCCACCAATTAATTCCTTGCTTCAGCTTCCACTGACTACGTCTTATTCCCTAGCAATGGCACCAGCTGTCACCAGCTGATATCTCTGGCTTTGTGATTTCAATATTTTTGTATTCAGTAGTACAGATTGCATTGGTATAAGGAGATCAACATGATTATTTTAGAAACATCAGATGCTGTAATTCTGATAAGGGATGTTCAAAAGACAATAATAAAGATGCAGAGGAGACTAAACTCAATGATTGATATCTACTTTTCAGAGATTGTAAAATACCACAAAGCAAATAAAAAGATACATATTTTTAGAGATAAATGTGTTTTATTTAATCCAGTTTTCTAATAATAGCTGTTTATATAGCTCTTACTGTATGCTAGATAATGTTCTAAATGCTCTAGGTATATTAACTGCTTTAACCCTTACATAAAGCTTATGAGTTAATTATTATTATTATTATTATCCCATTGGGCAAATGAAGAAACTGAGGCACAGGGAGGTTAAATAATGTACTAACTATAGGGTCGCTATGAGTCAAAACTGACTTGATGGCAAGGGGTTTGGTTTCGTTTTTTTTAAGTATTGTGTCAGCTAGTCAGTGACAGAGCTGGGATTTGAACCCAGGTAGTCTGGCTTCAGAGGCCACATTAACAAATTTATAATACTTCCTCTCAAGTCCATTCTAAGATGATATTGTTATATATAACTCATATTAGGTTACAATCAAAATAATTTAATTATTAACTCAGAATGTGTGTAGAGCTGAGTCTTACATTTTGAAGGTTAAATTTTAGCAATTTAAATTTTTGACAATTTCAATATATATTTGATATGCACTACTTAAACTACAAGGAAAACATAAGCTTGTGTTTAGTAATAACATGGAGATCAACCCAAAGTTTATACACACACACACACACACACACACACACACACACACACACACATACACACACAACTCCTCTGCACCCACCCCCGTCAAGAATGCATTTAGAAATATATCAAGGAGCCCTGGTGGCACCGTAGCATTTTGTTGTTGTTGTCCCAGTGACTAGGGGCTGCTACTGGCATTTATTTGGTGAGCCCCAGTGACGCTAAACACTGTGCTCTTGCAAAACAGTGCCACGTGGCAAAGAACTGTCCTGCCCACAGTGCCAATAGTACTTTGTTGAGAAAGACTGAACTGCTGTATACTTCCCTTTAAATAAGATTTATATTTTCCAAAGTAAGCTTGCCTGTTTTGTGGGAAATATGGCATAGGAGAAACTATTAAAAGATACACTTACATCAAGATGTAAGTAATATAAAAGAATAAGTAATATGAAAGAATAAAGACTGTCAATAAAAAGAAGGCTGCTTGAATTCATTTAGTAGGAATATTAAATTCTTCCAATTTTCTCTGACTTGGAAAGTAGCTGGAGTGAGCTGGCCCATTGAGTTTGTTCACTATGCATTCTAACTGTGTATTTCTGAAGTTATAATCCCCATCAGGGCTTAACTTTAATTCAAATTGAAATAGCCATTATAATACCCTTCATTCCCTGAGAATGCGTACCTGAACTTATTGAAATTCAGAGAGAACTATGATAAATGCTGCATTATTTTAGTTTGCACAGTCAGTTTATTTTAGCATTCAAAAATAGGCAATGACAAGTGTGGCATGATTTAATGGGAAAAATCAGAGACTTTTAGTCAAACATGTAGGGTTAGAGGCTGATTTCACCATTTTATAAAAGAAAGTTGCTTAATTTCCCAAGCCTCTATTTCTTGCCTCTGAATAATAGGGATGACTTCCTGCTGTAGCTATCCCATAAGGTGAGGGTGAAGATCAAATTTCAAATTCCTCATGAAAACAGTTTATGAACTACAACACAGTATTAATAACACCATCAATGATGTAATAACAGAGCATTTGATTCTCTTCTCCTAGGGACAGTAAAAGGGCCCTACAGGGTCTCCAAGGCTGTAAATCTTTACGGAAGCCAATTGCCACAACATTCTCCTGCAGAGTGCCTGGTGCATTGGAACCACCAACCTTCTGGTTAGCAGCATAGTGCTTTAACCACTGCACCCTGTGGGGCAGTTCTATTCTGTCCTATAGAGTCACTGTGAGTCGCATAGACTCGACGGCAATGGGTTTTAGTAATGGTAGAGGAGAGGAAGAACTCTCGTTACTTTTAATTTCTCCTCAGTCATGACTCCTAAATATTTTTGACAAAATAAGAAAAGGGAGAAAAAAAACATAATCTAAATATTAATTAAGTAACTAAGTGAGAAAAGTGGACTTTGCTCTCATGGAGAGTAGTACAAAAGAAAGAACAATGTCCTTTGCTATGCTTTATAGTGTACTTAATGAGCTATATTAAACAATTACGGTGCTAAAGAAATGAAGTCCGAGTGATTGGGGCACATGAAGGATTCTTCTAAGATCCTTCCCAAAGAGAAAAGTTCTCACTGCCCAAGATGCTGTGGTTCTTCTCTCAGCAAACTGGGTCTCATTCAGATTTGGAACTGATACAGTGGCTGCCAGAACATTTGGCAACATAGTGTTGTTGTGTGCCTTTGGGTAGGCAATCAAATGTATGTGTGTATTAACTATCAATTCTAAAAAGATGAATCACCTTATTTTCAGACAACATATGAAATTTTTCCAAATCTCTAAATTAATGTGAATATACTTCAGGTTCTTACCCCTCAAATCTCCTTCTAGTTTTATTGAAATTTTGGGAAAAATTCTTTCTCTATTTCAATTCCAACATTATCTTTATGAACTTCTAAGATTCTTTGTTTTGCTCCTCTGTCTCAGAGAGTCCACATATATGTAGCTTGGTTATCTTTTGGAACACTATAATCCATGTCTTTCAACACTCTTAACATTTCTCACATGTTAACATCCTTCCCATAATGAATGGTTGAAATGTTGGACTATTTTTCAATTTTCTCTCTTTCTCATATCCAATCAAGCACTAAGTCATATATATTTTACATCAATAATATCACTATCTGTACCTTTCCTTCCACCTCTGTTATTCTACTTAAGGTGCTAGTTACTTATATTTTAGATTATTATAATAATGTTTTAGTTTTCCAAATTAAAACTTAACAAATATCTATTGAGAACTTGTTCACTCAAAACATTTACTACGTACAAGATGGTGCAAATGGTTAAGCGCTGGGCTAGTAACTGAAACGTTGGCGGTTCTAACCCACCCAGAAGCACCTTGGAAGAAAGGCCTGGCGACCTGTTTCTGAAAGGTCACAGCCACGAAAACTCTATGGAGTACAGTTCTACTCTGCAACAAATGGGGTTGTCATGAGTCAGAATTAACTCAATGGCAACTGGTTTATTTTTATTTTTATTTTTGGTTTAGAGATTCTAAGACATGGACTCTGCTCTCATGGAGAGTACAAAAGAAAGAACAAGAAATGCAGCAAAAGACTCAAATTCTGTCTATTTTTTAGAACACATTGTAAAATTATCTTCCTTTAAACACAGGTTGGATCGTGTCTCCCTTCTGTTCAGAAAAGGAAGGACCAACATCCTCACATCTAGTGCTTTCCATACTCTAGCTCCAGCAGTGTTCCTGTTTGTTTTCCTCACAGTTCCTTTAATAGGAATTCAATAAATCTGAATGAGTGCTTCAAAGCTCATCACGCTTTTCAAGTTCGTAATCTTAATAATCTCTGTATAATCATAGAACATTACAGTAATGGCAACTTCAGAATTTATTCTAAATCCTTCACTTTACAGGCTCTGAGACATGATTTGTTCAGCTAGTGACAGAACCGAGACATGAACAGCTCTGATTTTGCACTCCAGAACTCTTACCACTACCCCAGGGACCTCCAACGACAGGGGTAGGAAGAGCAATCAGATACTCTATTTCTACACGTGGGCCAACAGTTGTGACATTCAGTGTCCTGATGTACTATATGGAGGTAAGGGAGATGCAGTGACTCCTTAGCTACAAGCCACTGGTGCTAGTTCCTGTTCTCTGGTGTAGGGAAATCACTTCAAAGGGGAGAAGAACAGGAATTAGGGTCATATTAAATACGTGAATGGAGCTTTTTAGGAGGTAAATAATAAAGTTGTGGGAGTTGGTCTCATGCCAGGGTTATTATAGGGTAAACTCCTGGGGTATTTCTGTTTTAGAGAAAGCCCCCTCAGGTATCCTTCTTATTTTTTCCACAGTCCCTAAGGATTGGCCTTTAGCTTGCCTTCCCACTGCCATGATCTACTGCCTACAGGATGGGCTTCATGACCCCTCTAAGATACTAGGAAACACATGTAGTCTTTCCTTATTCTCTCATCCCATAAAGCAAATAATGGACCTTTAGAATATTTCTAAAATATTTTTACTGCAAGTGAGAAAAGGAAACAGTGAGGAAAAAAGAAATTCTAATTATGGACCCTTCCTTCAGTAAAGTTAACATTATCTACAATAAATGGTGAGTTGGATGATGATCTGAAATAAGATTAATCTACATTTCAGAGAAAAACCCAGACTTGAGCCATTCCTTCAAATTTCATCATAGAAGCAGGGGTGAGACACTTGGGAGATAACTGTCCTAAAGAGAAGGGAAGGATTTGGCTACGACGTGAGGATGTTACAGGTGATAGTATTGCTAAGGTTGAAGAACGGGTACGGTGGAGGGTGAGCAGTACATACCCACAATTCCCCCTTCTCTTCTTCCGTTTCTTTTCATCACTGCAATCCTACCAATACAGACCACTTCCGGAAAGAGGCTAGGGAAAATGCAAGCCAGGAACGGCAAGGAAGATAGGGCTGTTAAGGTTGAACATAAACATGAAATACATAAAGCCAAGGAACTACCTTCAGTGCAACTAAAAACACTGGGCCTCTACTGAGCCATGTAAAACAGAACAAAACAAAACAAAAAACTGCTTTGAGGCTTGATTTTGCTTTGACTGTGGCTAGCTCTTCCATGGATAAACCCACTGCCATCAAGTCAATTCCGACTCATAGCGACCCTATAGGACAGAAAAGAACTGCCCCACAGGGTTTCCAAGGAGCGCCTGGAGGATTCAAATTGCTGACCTTTTGGTTAGCAACTGTAGCTCTTAACCACTATGCCACCAGGGTTTCCCTTCTACAGATAGTCAAATATTAATAGCATAAAACAGTTGGCATATTTCAGTGACTAATGTAAACAGAATTTTAGAAAAAAAAAAAAAAAGAGACTTACATCTTGTCCATTAATGCCAGTCAGACCTGGATCCCCTTTTTCTCCTGGTTCACCCTAGAAAGAAACAAATTATACAATAAAAAATGTTCTTTCTGAACAAACAAACAAACAAAAAAACCAGGAGAGTTCCATTGTTTGGATATTTATAACAATGTAATTACTTTGCTAATCCCTTGAAAGAAACATTTATTTAAAAAAAAATCTGAGTACTAAAACCAAAGTGAAGTTTAAAGGTTCAAAGGAAAGCTACATAAAAATGATTCAAGAGTAGAAACAGAAAAGGGATTATTTATTTTCTTCTACAAGAAGCAAAGAACTTTCTGGAGGGCAATTTGGCAATATATATCAAGAGTCTTAAATCTGTTCATTTCATTTGGCCTAGTGATTTCACTTCTAAGAATTCATCCTAAAGAAATGATCAGAGATGAAACGTTTTAGGCACTAAATTTAGAATGCAATGCTATCCATGGTAGTGAAAAAAGAAACATCCTAAAAGTCCAACAATAGGGGAGATGTTAAATAAATTGAGGTATATATATATATATATAAATACAATGAAATATGATGCAGCCATTAAAATGATGTTTATGAATTTTATTTTACACTATGGGAAAATTTTTATCATATAAAAAGCAATATAAAATTAATGAATTAACAAATAGTGGATAAATCTTAATCAATACTTATTACTATTATTGAAAGTTACAAATGTTCAAAATGGCCACTACTACCATTGTTGATGACACATACCCACAGTGGCATATGTTTTTCTTTGATTACCATCTGAAAGGTATATACTTTCATTGGTATGCCTGCATATCTATAGTATAATTCAAATTTATTTTAAAATACCTATGTCCCTATCGATCAACCTACCTATCTACCTGCATATCCATCTATCTGTGACACTTAGAAACAATACTGAAAGGAACAAACAGAATCTATGTGTTCTGTGATTATGGATCATTTTTATATTCTTTACTATACTCTTCAGTGTTTTTAAATATTTTAGCAATGAATATATATTATGTATGTGATCAGTAAAGTGTTTAAAAATAAAAGGATATTTTACGTATAGAAAGAACTGATCCAAGTGTATTATAATGTATGTGTGCATGCGTGCGTGTATGGTTACCTCTGTTTTGTACACTAGGGTGATTTTTATTTCTTTATATACTCTATTTTCTTTCCTCAGTATTTTTCCACAATGAACATTATTATTTTAATTTGTAAAAAAATTAAAGAAGTGCTAGCATCTGATTTTAAGAGATAATACATTAAATACTCTACAAACAGAAATATACAGTCTTGATCATCTAAGAGTATATATTTAATTGTATAATGAAAACTATATTGAAAATAAGAAAATAAAGCAAAAAAAAACTGATCACTGGAATAGAAGAAATATGCATATAATATATATGACAAACAAAAGTACATAAACACACTTTCAGTGAAATAGGTTCAAGTTAGAATGAGGCTGAGGATTTTAAACTGAAAATGGAGGAGTAAGGAGATACTCTAGAGTTATGCTGTAAAATGGTGGCCACTAGCCAGTCAAGTACTTCCTCGACTACTAACTGAAAGGTTGGTGGTTTGAGCCCACCCAAAGGCTCCTCAGAAGAAAGGCCTGATGATCTACTTCCAAAAGCCCACACCCTTGAAAATCCTATGGAGTGAAGTTCTTCTCTGTAACACACAGGGTCATCATGAGTTGGACTTGACTTGATGGCAACTTTTTTTTGTTTTTAGCCATATGTAGCTATTTAAATTTAAATTAAATAAAATTTAAAATTCAGTTCCTCAGTTGCCTTAGCTACATTTCAAGTACTTAATAGCCACATGCAGCTAGTGTCTCCTGTATTGAACAGGGCAGATTAGAATATTTCCATCATCTCAGAAAGTTCTATTAAGTGGTGCTGATATAAAATATGTCATATATATGACAGAAAGCAAAATAAGAATTAAGAAGCTCAGAATAGCATAGAAAAATCTACTAAGGGGATCAGAAACAACACAGTGTTTAGGTGTTGACATAAAATGTGTTCAGCACAAGTTAATAGAATGCATTGAAATTTTTGACACAAGAAAACAAATACAATTCCAATGACGAGACCATTAACTTTCAGAATGTAACTCATCGAATACAGTCTTTATTTAAAAATAATGGTTCTTCATAGATGGAAAAAATAAGCAACTCTATATCTTAAAGAAATGTGCCTGTGAGGAAATCTGCAAACTTGACAGTGATAATAAAAGTTAAGCAATAATACAGAGGACAGAGTTGATATTCTGATGGAGTTTATGCTGCATGCCAAGAGGATAAGAGGTGTAGCAGAGGCTGAAGAAGAAACATACTGGTTAAAAATTTAAAAGAATAATCTATAATATAAAAAGGAAGTAGAGGTCACTATGGTCAAATAAGGGTCAGAAAGAACAAGTAATTTGCCTTACTATTATTATCTTAAACAAACACTTCTATAGTGTTTACTATGTGCCAGGTACTGCTTTAAGCATCTAGCAATTATGAGTCAGAATCAACTTGACGGTGCACAACAGCATCAACAACAAGGATAAAGATATGATTATTACCCTCATTTTACAGATGAAGGAGAAGAAAAAGAGGGTAAGTATTCAGCCCAAGGCCACACTGTTTGTAAGTGGCAGATGTGTGATTCAACTCAGGCAGTCTGACATCAGAATCTGTGTTCTAAAACTATTAACCTCATTTGTTTTTAATGCACAGATCAGGGATAACTGAAAATACAGTGTACTGGGTTTCTTCAAAGCAGGAGGCAAAGTATCTCAAAATGCCCCTCAGGGTAGGAAATAGAACAAAGGCTGGGTACTGGTAAAAGGATCATACCCAATGAACGTTTCTTCCTATTTCTTTCCCTCCTTTCTTCCCTTCCGCTCTTTCTTTCTTCCTTCTTTCCTTCCTTCCTAGCTATCTATCTAGCTATCAAGGCTTCTTAATCTTGGCGTTATTGATAATTCTTTGTTGTAGGGAGCACTCTATACATTGTAGGATGTTTAGCTAGCAGCACCCCTGATTCTACCCACTAAAGGTAAGCTAGCTCTCTTTCTCTCTCTCTCAACCCACACATACATATTACATACATGCATACATATGTAATAGATTCATGACATAAAATATTACAACAGAGTCACTATGTTGTAATAAACAACGTGGCATTTATTAAGAATAAATGTACCCATTGTAGTCACTTGCCACTCACACCTCCAGCTTCAGACAACCACTAATATGCATTTTGTCTTTGAACATTTACACTTCTGTTTTGTTTTAGGACTCTTTTGAATTAATTTGAATTAGTTCTGGATGGATTAAAGAGCCCACTTCAAAATGAAAGTATAAAAAGACCAGAAGAAAACAAAGGTGAACATAACTCAGAGCTCAGGGTGGGTGAGGCCTTTCTAAGTAAGGAATCAAAAGAGAAAAAAATAATATATTTATCAAAATATTAATTACAAACTATTAATTGAAAAATATTATAAACTAAATTAAAAAGCAAATGACAAAGTGGGAAAACTCATATGGTAACTAAATAATTAACATCATTAATATACAAAGAGTTTTTATCATTCATTAGTAAGAGTTTTTCATTTGTTAGAAAAAGAATAACATCCCAATCAATAATTGAGCAAATTGATTGCTCAAATCAATCTCAAAAGAAATGCTATTTGACACTAATATTTTAATAGACATTAATTCATCAGATTATATATTGGGACTATGTGAGCTCTAAAGCGTCTCCATTTTAAATTCTATTGGTCTTTGAAAAAAAGCAATGGAAGTTCTATTACTAAATAGGGGGAAAAATATTCAAGGATCGCATACTTAATAAACTCCAAACAAAAGAAACTTGACAATAGTAACCAGCCTCTCCTTTTTTTTTCCCTCCACGGAGAAGAAAATGAGTAAAAACCAACTACAGCATTAAAGATTTAAGTCAGAATTAAAGAAAATGTACTTAACACCAGAAGTTGTTACAGAGTAGAATTAATTTAGATTGTTCCTCAGTGTTTGGCTAAGTTCAAATGCAGAAAATATTAAAAAACAAAGCCAACAGAAAATCTCTGGAGAGTTCCTTAAAAATACAATAAATCATTGTAGTCTGACGGAAACTTAAATGCATTCCAAACCAGAGGAAAGAGGATAAATGGGAATTAGATTACATTTAAAATTTTTCTAATGCCTATTCTTTGATGGAGCCCTGGTTGTGCAGTGGTTAAGAGCTCAGCTGCTAACAAAAAGGTTAGCAGTCTGAATCCACCAGCTGCTCCCTGGAAACTCTGTGGGGGCAGTTCTACTCTGTCTATAGGGTCACTATGAGTTGGAAACAACTTGAGGGCAACAGGTTGGTTTATTCTTTGATGAAACTCATTGCAAAATAATACCAAAATTTAATCTGCTTCCAAATAAAAATGCAATGCCTTAGCATTCAAGATATTACATTCAGGTAATCTGTGAAACTCTTCACAGAGTTTGAATTAATCTAATTATTATCCATAGTGCAGGTAGTTATTAATATTATTAATATATACTAGCAATAACGTAATAGCTTCTATTTTATATGCCTTACTATATGCCAGGCTCTGTAGTAATCACTTTAAATAGAAAGGACTCATTTTAATTCCAGCTGTAACCCCACAAGGTGGGTATTCCCACTCCAATTTACTGATGATGAATCAACATCTCAGAGGATGTAAGTAAGTTTCCTGCGGTCACAGAACTCCCCCTATTATCCCAAGTGTTCACTCAATTACTCTGGCCTCATAGGCAACTTCATTCAGTTGGTCTGTCTAATTTCACATTGTGCCAATGCCCCAGGCCCACTTCAGTTTTCAGCTGAAACTGGCAGACAGTTCCTGTGGAGTCTCAGGCTGCTGTCAACCCCTTTACCTGAAGCTAAACACTCCTCCCTCTCCTTGGCTTTCTGCCCCTGGAATTTTCATGAAGGCTGGGAGCTTGTTCAACTCTGGCAAGGCAGCCTGGAAGGGTAGAGGAGTTAATGCCCCCAGAAGCAATCCTC